TATGACATTCAGTAGGTTAGGTGTATTAAATGACATTTTCAACTAACTTTACTCCCAATTTGCAAAGGATTTATCAGGATGCAACTCTACCATAAGTTGAGAAGCATCTCCATTGATCTCTTACTTTTTTTTTTTTTGGGGGGGGGGGGGGGACAGGCAGAGTGGACAGTGAGAAAGAGACAGAGAGAAAGGTCTTCCTTTACTGTTGGTTCACACTCCAATGGCCGCTGCGGCTGGCGAACCACGCCAATCCGAAGCCAGGAGCTAGGTGCTTCTCCTGGTCTCCCATGCAGGTGCAGGGCCCAAGCACTTGGGCCATCCTTCACTGCACTCCTGAGCCACAGCAGAGAGCTGGCCTGGAAGAGGGGCAACTGGGCGCCCCGACCAGGACTAGAACCCGGTGTGCCGGCGCCGCAGGCGGAGGATTAGCCTGTTGAGGCGTGGCACTGGCCAAGATTGCTTACCTAAATCTTCCCCTAACTCTCAAATTCTTAGTCTAAAATTACCCAAATCAATGCTTATGGATCTAGCAGTTACTACATAGGAAACTGTTTTTAATAACTTATTTATTCTCATTTTATTGAAATGCAGAGACAAAGAGATCTTCTGTCCATGGTTCACTCCCCAAATGCTTGCAACAACTAGGGATTGGCTAGGTGGAAGTTAGGCACTTGAAACTTTTTGTTAAGATTTATTCATTTATTTCAAAGTCAGAGTTACAGAGAGAGAGGAGAGGCAGCGAGAGAGGTCCTCCATCCGATGGTTCACTCCCCAGTTGGCCACAACGGCTGGAGCTGCGCCGAACCGAAGCCAGGATCTGAGGCCAGGAGCCTCCCCCAGGTCTCCCACGCGGGTGCAGGGGCCCAAGGGCTTGGGCCATCTTCTGCTTTCCCAGGCCACAGCAGAGAGCTAGATCAGAATTGGAGCAGCCACGTCTCGAACTGGTGCCCATATGGGATGCTGGCGCTTCAGGCCAGAGTGTTAACCCGCTGTGCCACAGCACCGGCCCTGGCACCTGAAGCTTAAACTGCGTGTGTCACATGGGTTGCAGAGACCCAACTACTTGAGCCATCATCTTTGCCTACCAGACTGCACATTAGCAGGAAGCTAGATCAGAAGCAGAGGAGCCAGGACTTGAACCACACGTGCACTTAGACAAGAGATACAGGCATCCCAAATAGCTACTAATCCACTGTACCAGATGACCTGTATTCCTTAACAGTGAACCAGACAGGGAATTCGGGCCAGAAAATAGTGCTTGTTCCAGCAATAAATGGGCATTAGGATGTCATCATAATCCTGTTTGTCAAACAGCTTGCTAACTGTGAGGAAGCAAGAATAAACCAAACTGATCAGTCATTCTGTAAAACAATTGGCTTGTACTCTTCAAAAAAGTCAAAATCATAAAAAGAAAAAAAAAAAGCTATCCTAGACTACAAGAGACAGAAGAAACATGGCAAGCAACCACAATATTAAATCTTGTCTCCAAAAACAAGACAACAGGGGCCGACACTGCGGTGCAGGTTGGGCCACTGCTTGCAACACCAGCATCCCATTATCGGAATGCCGTTTCAAGTCCACACTGCTCTGCTTCTGATCCAGAAATACCACATTTTCTCTGAATAGTACGTAACCAAGCTGACTAAAATAATTCACTGTGAAAGTCTTACACAGAAACAACACAAAGACGCTGACTTGTAGGCATGGAAGAATTAGAGTTCTTCACGAAGGGAACAAAGTTCCTGCAGAAAATGTGGCAGCTCCAGCACAGCTATCCTAGAACCTCCTGCACTGTGGTCTGTCTAAAGGAAATATAAGGCTTTAGTACCAGGATCTGGCGTCAGAGGGGGTTTGTGCTCCCTGACTTCAATCAAGCAGAGCAAGGTTTACTACATTTATAAAGTTAAGAGAAAAACCAATCCTCAATGTCCTGTAAGCATGAATCACCATAAACATGTAGTGACACCTTTACATCAATCAAGTCATTTTGGCTTATTTTGCAATGTGATTTAAAAAATATCTGACTGACAGGTTATAGGTTGATTCATGTTCAGTATCTAAATACCATCACAAAGAGATGTTAGATTGTTATTTCATGAAATATACTTAAGAATAATCAAAATTTTAGTGAGACCAAGTTTTACTCTTTAAAAAAAAAGGCCTGGAGGTGGGTGGGCATTTGGTGCAGGGTATCTGGTGCAGTGGTTGAGTCACCTGCATCCTGTAGTATCAGGATGCCTGCTTCGAGCCCTAAACCAATTCTCTGCTGAAACTGAGCGTCCACTGTAGGTATATCCCGATGTTTCTAGCTATCAGACACTTTTTGAAAAGTCACTCCAGGCCCTTCTCACAGCTTGCACACTAGAATGAAGGCTAGGTAACAGCTGGAACTGTTGGGCTACATGGCAACTCTTCTAGCTTTCCTTATAGGCAAAGAGTGCCTATAAGCTCAGGCCTCCCCATGGGAAATGCTTGCTGCCTCTCATTTACTGTAATTAAAATCAGAGCTAGCACAGGTGGAGATGGAGGTAATTCAGTGCTCTGCTGCTTTGGGCGTATTTATATCCCTTTACTGTGAATATTAATTTTACTTTTTTCACCTATTTCTAACAAAGCAATTTACAATTCCTTACTTCCTATCAGCTCCTCAAAACAAATCCTACCCACTCATTTGTGAGAAAACTTCATTTTCCACTTTTTAAAGATGTACTCCCACAAAATTTCATTTTGATAATATAAATAACTCACGTTTGAGTAACTCTTTAACTCTTAGTTTCTGGTCAGAATGCTTATAAACAATCTGGTAACATATGGTAATGATTTAACAAAACTGGAAGCATTTTAAAATGTCAGAATGCACTGTTAAATCAACTATCATAAATGATCTATACAGAATGTGATGCTTGAAAATGTTAGTCACATTCATTACCTGAAAACTGTATTCCAATATGTGGATGCTTAAAGAGCACTATGTCGTGGTTACTTTCCTCAGTGAATTATTTTAGAGTAGATGATTAAATAGACATTCACTAAATTTAAGCAGTGGCACTTATTCTTTAGTTAGTTATGCTGTTTTCAAACAGAGCAACAACTCACAAGTAAACTTTTGAGAAGTTTGTATCTTTTGGGAAATCTCCCATAAAAATTCAGAACATTTTGCAAACTTCAGGATCAGCAGAACTGGATTAATGTAATTTACCTTAATGTAATTTACCTTAATTGTGCATTACTCAAACCAACAACATAGTAACCTTATCTTGGCTTCAGAACCCACAGAAAAACAGTTTGAAGGAAAAAAAGTAGTAGCTTATTATTAACATGGCTCATTTATAAGGGTTCACTTTTTCCACTGTTAGAAAACTATAAATCTGCTCTAATTTCTTGAAAATTATTAACAATTCATTGCTTATAAACACTAAAACTGACAAGGCTTAAAAAGTCTCAATAGAAGGATAAAGCAAAATATTTTTATTAACATTGCTGTCCCCTAGAAAGCAAACAGAATCAGGAATGTGAAATACTGTACAGAGCCTGTCCAGTACTGACCATAAAGACTCAGACACCTGCCTCTGAGTGAGAGCAATCTTTTAAAAGCTCTGAAACTCTCAAGTCAATAGTAACAGTTTGAAAACATTTTATGATTCAATGAATTAAACACACACAAAGAAAAGAGTATCAAATGGCAATTTTCCTTCATTTCTTAAAAAATGTTCCCAACAGTGTTCAGATCTATTGTAGAGTGGCAGAAAATTAAAGGCTATGCCTGTAATAAACTTTCTTCATTTACAGCTAGAGTAGATTGATACAGATACTTCACTGCAAAAAATTCTCGACATTTGTTTATATAAATGGCTATATATGCGAAGAAATAAGAGGACACTAATAATTCATCGAAAAATGTGCTAGTACAAAATACAAACGTGTTTATCACTTTCAATTTACCCACTAGGCCCTGTGGGATTCACAGATGCAAAACAAAGCCCTTATTCTAAAGTAGTGTCCATGCTCTTAGAATAGAAACATTAAGTGTATCAAGATGAGAAAGAACAATATTCCTATGCCCAGAGCTCTCAAGGAAAATTATTTATTCTATGTGTACTCTTAAAACATATCTGTGCAAAAATTATGTCCTAAAGTAACTATACATTCACTACAACTTTATTTATCTACAACAGGAGATAAAAAGGTTAAAAAAAAGAAGTCGCTTCCAAGACACAGATTTGTAATGAAAACATCTGGTGTAAAGCAAATCAAACAAAATCCGGAGCAGTACCCAAACTAAACTTCACAAGGAAAAGGAAGGTTGTTTCTTGATCAGTTTCATTCTTATCTTTTGTAAAGAATACTGACCTTAAATGTCACTTGGTTTTACAAAACAGAATCCTTCATTGCCCCTATTCACAGATTTATGAAGAATTTAAAATATCTCTTTCTATAGGTGACAAAGTCAACACCATTTTTCTCCCTCCAGTCTTGCCAACTTATTAAATGAGCTCTGACTCTTCACCAATTCAGTCTGTGATGTTTTAAGAGTACAATAAATCCGATCTGAGAAACTGTAAAATTGCTTTTCTTCAACAAATGTCAAAGCTATGATGACAGCTAATGAATCTGCCAGTTAACTAAAAACATATTCTAAAATTGTACACATGTCCCGAGGTTTCTCAGTACTGCCACACAGCCTCGGCCACGTTCTGAAATGTCAAAAGAAACGTTCTTATTTCAACCGAATTCAGCAAATCCTCAGTGGTGGCCTACATACATAGTATTTAATACTGTGCTAGCAGTTGATCAGGGATCCAGTAAGACAGCAACAGAAGCGGAATTCAGGGAACCATTTCCATACCCTTCTTGGGAAAGGGAGCCACATATTTCACCTTTCCATTCTATCGCAGAACGTGACACCAAAGGATGCAACAAAGACCAGAGAGGTTAGCAACGGGGAATCCTCCTCATTAAAAAAATAAAAAGTACAGGTGAGTTGCTTTCTCAATTACAAAGCCTACGTCCCCTGCCGGGAAACTACAGCACGCTGCCTAAAGTTTATTGCGATAACTGTTTCCAAAGACCAAAATTGGTTTTCTGGTCCTCGATCTGTCTTCCTTTCAAAGTGTCTCTCCCTAATCCTGACACCGCATCAACTCTACGTGGTTTTTCTTAACGCACAACGGAGTGACGACTGCCCGTTTAAAGCTTAGGCCCCGCGAAGCCAAGAGGAAAGCCCACCCCCGACCGGGTGGGCCGTACGGCGAGCGGCGACGAGCGAGAGCGGCGACCCCCGCGACGTGGAAGCAGACAGCGCACGTACTGCGAGGCCCCGACGGGGTCGCCGCGCCAGATGCCACCCCGTTAGCAGCATATGGCAGGGCAAGGATGGCTCCCGACCCTTGGCAAGCGCCGCGGCGGCTGGGGCCTGGCGGCGGAGGCGAGGCTGCGGCGGCGAGGGGTGCGCCGGCGGCCGGCACACTGCTCCCCGCGGCCGGGGCGCACGTGGGGCTCGATGCCGCAGGGTCTCAGAGGCGGCCGGGGCAGAGGGCTGCAGGTGCGGGGGAGGCGAGCGGCTCTTCTCCAAGAGGGCAGGCCCCGGAGGCCGCAGGCCGGAGCGGGGGAGGACAGCCTCCGGAGCAGCGGCGCGGGTGTCCGGCGGAAGCCCGAGACGCCGACTCGAGGTTGGGGTTGCGGGGTCCGGGGGCGCTTGAGGGGAGCTGAAAGCGCCACCGTGGGGAGAGCGAGGGTTTGAAATAGGTGGGATGGGGGGGCACGGAGGGACGCTTGCCGGCGCGGAACCCCAGCTCACCGTGCCTCCGTCCTTAATGATGATCTTCTTGGCCAGCATGATACTGCGGTTCGCGGCCCGTTTCTTCTTCTTCCCCTGGGTCATTTTACCATCCTCAACTCCTGGCGCTGCTGCAGCCACTCCCGGGGCGGCCGGCCCCAGCGGCGAGTGCCGTCCCGCCACTACTGCGGGGCCGAGCCGCTCGGGGCGCCCGCCGCCATCTTGAAGGCCCGGCCTGCCTCCGGCGGCGCGTCACATCGTGCGATCGGCCGACGAGCTGCCGCGCCCCGCCCCGCCCACGTGACGCCGCCCCGCCCACTCGGCCCTTCCAGGTTCGCGGGCGCAGCCGTCGCCGCGCGGTGCCGCTGGCCCTTGGGAGCAGCTCCCTGCACCGGCAGCAGCAGTTCTGGGCGGTAGGGGTCGTTATTGGCGCTGCTCCTCGCCCACAGGTGAAGAAATTTAAGTCGAAAAGTTGTTAGTTGCTCACAGAAATATGGCTAATAAATGTCTAAATAATAAATTCTAGCCAGACCTCTCTAAACTGTCAGCACTGTCTACTTGTGTTCTAACCAAGTTGGAACTTTAGGGCACGCTAAAGAGAAGTGCTTTTCCAGGAACAGTAGCTAACCTAAGAGGTAAATGTGAGTGGGCTTTCCAGAAACAGTCCTGGTGCTCAGAGACCCCACTAGAACAGAACACAACTGGATCGTGCTTTTTTTTTTTTTTTTTTTTGCAGTGGATCCCCACTCCAAGGAGCTGCCAATGAAAATGTACATGACCTGGTTCTCAGACTTGGTAGGCCATTACCTTTTGATTATATTGCTTAAAAATCAATTTGATGAAAGAGAAGATGATGGGAAGGCCAATGGACACGAGTGGAATGTGGACTGAATAGTATTGCAGTGTTAGATTTTGATTACTGTGTTGTATAAGTGTCCTTTTCCTTAAACACTGAAGTGCAGTGCTTGCAGCCTACCCTATTCAGGAAATAACATGTATGTGGTGGAGGCGGGGGGTGGGGGGAGGAGTGTGACCCAGCAGAATAGCAGGATGTTAAAAGTGCAGCTGGGTATGGCAGTTCTAGGACAGCTTCACAGACTCATTGATACTCCCTGGAAGAAGCATTAATGACTCTTTTCTGTTAGATTAAAACAGAAGTGACTGCACTGACTTCAGAGGCTAGGTCATAAAAGGCACTGCATCTTCTTGCTTCTGTCATCCACTCTGAGCCCAAGTCTAGGGGAAGCCAGCTGTCATGAGTACACTTGAATAGCTATGGAGAGGTCCAGTTGTCCAAGAACCAAGGCCTCTTACTAAAAGCCATGATGGTCATCTTGGAAGACAATCCTGCAGCCCTGGTCAAGCTTTGTGCTGAATGCAACCCCTGCCAACATCTGACTACAACTTCATGGAGGCCCTGAGCTAGCAACACCCAGCTTAGCCTCTTCTGGGACTGTGTAACACAAAAAGTTCTTGTTTTAAGTCACTAAGCTGGGGCCAGTGTTGTAGGGTAGTTGGTAAAGCTGCAGATAGCAGCGCCGGCATCCTGTATGAGTGCCGGTTCAAGTCCTGACTGCTCTACTTCCAATCCAGCTCCTTGCCAATGCACCTGGGAAAGCAGCAGCAGATGGCCCCTGCCACCCACGTGGGAGACCCAGATAAAGCTCCTGGTTCCTGTCTTCAGCCTGGCCCAGCCCAGCTGTTGTGGCCACTTGGGGAGTGAACCAAAGGATGGAATATCTAACTCTGCCTTTCGAATAAATGAATTTTTAAAAGAGGCACTAAGCTTTGGGGTGATTTATTACACAGCTATAAATAACTAATATGCAGGGTGAAGGGAATGTGTGATTCTTTCTACTGATCTTGCAACTTTTTTGTAAGTTTGAAATTATTTCAAAATAAAAATGTTAAAAATTAGGGGTGCCAGCATTGTGGCAGAGCAATGCTGCTTGGAACACCAGCAACCCATATCAGAGCACCAGTTCCTGCCTTGGCTGTTCCAGTTCCAATCCAGCTTCTTGCTAATGTGCCTGGGAAGGCAGCAGACAGTGGCCCAAGTGCTTGGGCCCTTGCCACCCACATAGGAGACCAGAATGGAGTTCCTGGCCCAGACCTGGCTGTTGAACCATTTGGGGAATGAACCAGCGATGGAAGATACTTGTGTGTCTCTCCCTCTCTATTGCTTTGCCTTTTAAAGGGACAGGAGAGAGATCCTTCATCTGCTGGCTCACTCCCCAGATAGCCACAACAGCAGCAGCTGGTTGAAGCTAAAGACAGGAACCCAGAACTCCATGCCAGTCTCCCACTTGGTTGGTAGGGGCCCAAGCCCTTGGGCCATTCTCTGCTGCATTTCCAGGCACACTTGCAGGGAGCTGGATCTGAATGGGAGCAGTGAGGACTCAAATGGGATGCCAGGGTCCCATGCGGTGTCTTAACTCACTGCACCACAACTCTGGCCCCATAAATTAACCTTGTCAAAAATATGTTTAAAAGTGAATTTGGCCGGCGCCGCGGCTCACTAGGCTAATCCTCCAACTAGCGGCACCGGCACACCGGGTTCTAGTCCCAGTCGGGGCGCCGGATTCTGTCCCGGTTGCCCCTCTTCAGGGCCAGCTCTCTGCTGTGGCCCGGGAGTGCAGTGGAGGATGGCCCAAGTGCTTGGGCCCTGCACCCCATGGGAGACCAGGAGAAGCACCTGGCTCCTGCCATCGGATCAGCGCAGTGCCCCGGTTGCGGCGGCCATTGGAGGGTGAACCAACAGCAAAGGAAGACCTTTCTCTCTGTCTCTCTCTCACTGCCCACTCTGCCGGTCAAAAAAAAAAAAAAAGTGAATTTGATTGAATTTTCTGTTCCTTCTATTTCCATATTGACTAGAAATAGAAAAAAATAACTTATTCCAAAAAAATTCTCATGTTGAAATGTTTTAGATGAAGTTCAACTTGAATAACAATCAGATGAGAGCATCTTTAGAACATCATTTAAACGTGGCAAATGAAATAGAAGCCTAGGCAAGCAAAAAGCTCTAAAAGCATTCCATGAAATGTCACTATAAAGGTAACCACTAGAAATAACATACAAATCTTCCTAAATATTAAAATAAATTACACACACACCAGCCAAAGCTGGGAGCCTGAATATTCAACCCAGGTTTTCCACATGGGTAGCAGGAAACTAACTACTGGGTCATCACCACAGTCTCCCAGTGTCTGCACCAGCAGGAAGCTGGAATCAGAAGCCTGAGCCAGAAATCAAACCCAGGCACTCCAAAGTTGGACAACCACTAGGCCAAACACTGTCCCCTAAACAAAAAAAGAAATGTTATAAAGCAAAGAACACACTCTACCTGGTTAAGGAAACATAATAAATACAGAAATATAATCAATACTTCAAAAGGCTTATGAAAAATGGATTTAGGGACCAGTGCTGGGACACAGGGGACACAGCTGCCACCTGCAGTGCCAGCAGCCCATATGGGCACCAATTCAAGTCCTGGCTGCTCCACTTCCAATCCAGCTCTCTACTATCACCTGGGAAAGCAGTGGAAGATGGCCCCAGTACTTCGGCCTTGCCACCCATGTTTCAGGTACCCAGTTTCACCTTGGCCCAGCGCCAGCCACTGTGGCTATTTGGGATGTGAACCAACAGATGGAAGCACTCTCTTTCTCTCTAATTCTGCCTTTCAAATAAATAAATCTTTTTAAAAAATGGAATTAAAAGGTGCTATTTTGATGCAACAAATGTAGAAATTCATGCAGTGTTTTCATAACATACATTTTCCATGATCCCTCAAATGTTTACTTTCCAAAAAGAAACACTGGAAACCAATGAAATGAGGTGGTTAGGAATGGAATGGATAAGCATGAGAGCTAACTATACTTTTCTGAGTATACTTTTCATAGTTTTAGCTTAAGAATCATGAAAATATTCAAAAATAAAAACATTTTAAGTAAATTCTAAAGTGAAATACAAATAAAAGCTCGAGATTTCCATCAACCTTTGACCATAAACCCTGAGTACATTTGTACTGGGCTACATTTCACAGAAAAAAAAAAAAGGAAATGAATGCATAGAAATTTTCAGTGTTACTGAATGTTTATCATTAATATTGGCATTGCAGTACTGAAGAATAGACTCTATAATAAAACATGCAAGTGATTGTTATTAGGAATCAAGATTTTCATTGTATGAGGACCAAGAAAATGTAAAGAACAAGCCCTGCTACATTAAAATTTCAATTGTAAATATTGATTTGAATTCATCTTTCAAAAAATGTCAAGCTCTGTTCACTGAAACTGCCTACAAACAATGATCTCTTAGTAACAATGGATTCTAAATTCCATTCCCCTTAAAAGGAATTGGGCTGTTTGGAGAAGCAGCTATTTCCTGTTAATATAAGGTAAGCCTTTGACATCTTATTGTCTGAAGCAAGGCAGAACTTGAAAACTAATGTGGTCATCTCTAAAAGTGACAAGAGCTGGCTTGCAGTGACTCAGTGGCTGCAGGCTCACATTATGAGCATCAGAAAGTAGGACTATAATACTGGATAATTTTTTAAAAATTCATTAAGACATAGTGATATTTCAAAATAGTAAGGTACTGGGATAAAAGGAGGAAGAACAGACCGTTTCAAAAATAGAAGACGGGTAGCCATTTGTTGTAACATGCCACTTAGGATGCCCACATCCCATATACGAGTGCCTGGGTTTGAGTCCCTGCCCTGCTTCTGTTTCCAGCTTCCTGCTAATGCATATCCTGGGAGGCAGCAGGTGATGGCTCAAGTACTGACACCCACATAGGAAATCCAGATTGAGTCCCCTGCTCTCAGTTTCAGCCTGGTCCCGGCTGTTAAGGCCCTTTAGGGAGTAAACCAGTAGATGGAGGATATCTGTCTCTGCTTTTCAAATTAAATAAGAATTTAATTATTAAAAAAATCTTTAAAAAACTCAAAGAACATTCAATTAGAGATCAAGTTTGCACATGTAGTATCTTATAAAACAAACCCACATTCACAGATAATTGTTAAAAAGACAAAGTCTGGGGGCAAACGCTATGGCATAGTGGGTAAAGCTGCCACCTGCAGTGCCAGTATATCATATGGACGCTGGTTCATGTCTCAGCTGCTTCACTTCTGATCCAGCTCTCTGCTATGGCCTGGGTCCTTGGGCCCCTGCACCCACGTGGCAGACCCAGAAGAAGCTCCTGGCTCCTGGCTTCGGATGAGCACAGCTCTGGTCTTTGCAGCTACTTGGGAAGTGAACCAGTAGATGGAAGACCTGTCTGCCTTTCTGTAACTGCCTTTCAAATAAATAAATAAATCCTTAAAACACACACACACACACACACACACAAATCTGGGGTGAACATTTAGTCTTGTGTTTGGGACACCAGTGACTCTCAGAGCACTGGATCAGGCTGCTGCTGACAGCTTCCTGGCAATGTGGACCTTAGGAAGCAACGGTGATGGTTCAAAATGGTTGCGTTCCTGCCAGCCCCCTGGTGGGGGAGAGGGTCCTGGCAACAGGCATTTGGGAAGTGGACTAGCAGATGGAAGTACTGTCTGTTGCTCTCTCTCTCTCAAATAAATAAAAATTATAAAATACATCTTAAAAAGCACAAGTATATTAAACTAAACCTCTTAAATATTCTATACTTTCAAAGTACATTTTAGCAAGAATGCAATTTCGTGACTACTCTAAAGCACTTCAGTAACATTCATTATTCTTTCAAGCCTTCAGTGAATTCTACTTTAAAAAGGAAAAAAGCAGGGGCCAGCACTGTGGGGTAGTAGACTAAGCCTCTGCCTGTGGCGCCAGCATCTCATATGGGCTCTGGCTTGTGTCCTGGCTACTCCTCTTCTTATCAAGCTCTCTGCTATGGCCTGGGAAATCACTGGAAGTTGGCCCAAGTGCTTGGGCCCCTGCACCATCACGGGAAACCCAAAAGAAGCTCCTTGCTCCGGATTGGCTCTGCTCCTACCATTGTGGCCATTAGGGGAGTGAACTAGCAGATGGAAGACCTTTCTCTCTGACTCTCCCTCTCTCTGTTACTCTATATCTCAAATAAAATCTTTTTTTAAAAAAAGAAATAAAGTATACATCTAGGATAAAATATATTTCCAAAGGAATCTGTTAAAGAAGTTATTAACATTTTAGAAATCCTAAATGAAAATACATGCATAAATGAAAACAACTGATCTGTAGTTCCAATGTTGTGCTAATTCTAAACCCTAGTGAAAGATAACTGGAAATAAGGACCTAACAATTAACAATGAAGCCCAAATGCAAGCCAGAGGAGCAACCAGTATCAACTTTATACTAGCTCTTCATTATAATGTTGATGGTTAATTGCTAATTGAAAATTAGTTCTAAACTACATATTGATTTAAGCCAATTTTAAGATTTGGTCTTTAAAATTTTCAGCATTAAATACAGTTGTAATTAAACATTAGCAAAATAAATGTAACATTATGCTATCTATGTAATGCATAGGCTAGTTTAGCACAGTATCTCATTAAAATTTTTTCCTTCCCTAGAATCATGTTAAATTCAGAATTATCTGACAAATTGTTTTACGATTTATTTATTT